CTGTTACTAAACCCTCTCCACCTCTGTTCCTCTCTGTGCAGAAAGCTGATCTGGCGGTGGCCGGCTTCACCATCACCTCGGAGAGAGAGAAGGTGATCGACTTCTCCAAACCCTTCATGACTCTGGGGATCAGCATCCTGTACCGGGTTCATCTGGTAAACTCACCTTCACCTTTTCTTTAGTTGTTCTTGACGTATATCAAACACATTATCATCTGCCTGAATATAAAAGCAACACTAGAAAGACTTGTACGAACCGCCCCGTTGGTGAAGTTTCATTATTTCTCCTCGCCTCTTGTGAAATCCATCACAGACTCTGTCATGTTCTGGTGTTGCCACAAGTTCTGACTTTGGTACATGGATAGAGGGACTGAAATCACACACACACAAAAAAAAAATCAGAAAAAGTAATGGAATAACTGATTGAATTTGTTGATTTGTTTAAATTTGTTCAAACAACAGGAAATACTTTGGTAAAGTCACAGTAGAAACTGTGAAAACAAGCTATAAAACAAACAAACAAACAAAAAAGGACACACACAAGTTCTTTAAGTTCTTTAATTTTTTTTCTTTTTACTTGAAAGAAAAACAGGATTGGACACATCCAGCATTAATCCACAGGTGTTATCAACACTAAAAAACACATGGTGACTCTATACTATCCATATTTTACTACATATATTTTTAATTTGTCTCCTTGTCGGTCTCCTTTCTGCTCCATATCAACTAAAAAAGTCTCTTAGTCCTCACTGAGGTACAAATGGTTTCACAATTACACTGAAAAAGACCATTTTTATTTTTTTATTACTTTTTTTTTTTTTGAGTACAAATGGTTCATTTTCGATGATTTTTTAAACATGAAACAAACAATACAGCGATTCCCATGAAACATCATCATTTGGCTGACTTTCCCAAAGCAACCACACCTTGTGGATGAGTAGTTCAAGGACTGTTGAAAATCTGAAGATTCTGTTTTTGCAGTTACTTGGTTAATGTTAAAAACATAGCATGCCTTATAAACCAACCTGGCAGGTTTAGTTCTTTACACATTCGTCCACCTTCACACGTTGCTCTGCTGCTCATTAGATGCTTTAATGCTCGTTTTATTCACCCGCTTGCTTTTTAAAGCTCCTGTTGATCTGCAAACAGCTGGTTTTTACTTTGCTTGTCACATATTAAATCGCTTGTTTGACTTCCATCATCTCATTTTATCATCCGTCACGCTGACCGACCTGTTGCTCGAGTGTATTTGCCAAGCTGGATGTTTGGGTTCCTTCGGTTCGGGTGGAGAAAACACGTTTCACAGACGGGCTTTGTGGTGTCTGTGGATTGTTGGCTGTACAGGAAAAAATGCCGTGTTTTGGTTTGTGGACGCTCAGCGAGAGCATTTATTTCTGCAGCCTCTCGTTCCGTCTGGTACCAGTACACCGTGCACCACTGCTCTCCAGTCGTTTCTGCAGTGAAGATGTTAGGAGACTCTGTAAACCGGGTTTCACTTGTCATGTATTTATTTCCTGCGTGGCTCCAAAACATGTTGCAGCAGCCTTCAGAAACTCCTGCAGGTTTAACTGAGCTGATTAAACACTTCCACAGCTGCCCGACTCTGAAAACTCACTGACAACACTCCTAAAGTCGCTTTGGGCTGGCAGGGAACGTTGTGCTGCAAGTTCTTTCAGTACGAATCGCTCAGTTTCCAGTAANTTATTATTTTTGGAACAGTTTGGGTATTTTGGACAATTTTTGATTTGTTTTGGACGAGTTTCAAGTTATTTTGGGCAAATTTAATAATTGCTGATTCATTTTTTTTTTTAAATTTTAGACTAATTTTGGACTTTTTTTTGCCCTTTTGGAGAAGTTTTAGCCATATCGGACACATCTTTTGTCATCTTAGGCAAGTTTTTGGAGCCCCTTGGAGATGAAATATTGAGGCACCGGAACATAAACAGTTAAAACCCTTTTGTAATGCTACAATCAAAGTGAAACCGTTAACACTGAGCTGCGAGTAAAAGTTGGCCTTCGAGGGCAGAATCACAGAGAATATCATTACAGAAAAACATTATGCTGTTGTGTACGACATTAAAGTGTTTCGTGAATGTAATTGACTGGAGCTCATTACAGAATAGATTAGAAGCGTCAGCAGCAGAACCACAAGCCTGTACACCTACTTCTACATTCACTTTGTTTTCTCTGATTTGTTCAAAAAAAAAAACTTGATTATTTAGTTGTTGTCTGTTTGTCTTCACCTGATGGCCAGTTTGTCTTTCATGTCCTCCTCCCATCATGACCTCTTCTTTCCTCGTCTCTCCTCCTCTGGGTTTTGTGTCTCATTTCCTCTCAGATCTCTACTGACCTCCTCCAGTCTCTCCTCCTCCTCCTCCTCCTGTTGTCTCTGCTTTGATGTTGACTTGTTTATTTCCTCTCCCTCAGTCCCAGCTCTTCTTGTCTTTCTCACGCTCCGCCGGTGAACCCGAGCACAAAATGAAAGTAAAAATTGGTTCAAAAATATTTAAGGATTGTACAAAATGACTCAAAATGTGCCTCAGATGATTTAACACTGCTCAAATTGACAAGAACATTGTCCAACATCAAAAATATTGTCTGATATAGCACAATATTTTACCAAATGACTTAAAAAATGTGGAAAATGGCTCCAAAAAGTGTCTAAAAGTAACAAATGATTGTCCAAAATGACACAAACCTGTTGAAAATGCCTCAAAAATGTCCAAAATATCTCAAGACTTTTTTCCAAAATAAGTCAAAATTGGGCTAAAATGACTCAAAATTGGTTGAAATTATTTATAAATTGTCCGACATCACAACTCAAAATGTGTCAAAAACAACAAAAAGTTGTCCAAAATCATTTCAAAACTTATTTATAACGAAAACTTGCAATTGCTAAACATGAACAGAAACTTGCCCAAAATGATTTGACATGGTTTAAATGAGCCAAAGATTTGTCCAAAATGATTCAAAAGGGCACAAAATTACTCAATAATTGTCCAACATGACACAAAAAAAAATGTAATTTCCAGTATCACAAATCTTGTTCAAAATGATTCAACATTGATCAAAATGAAACAAAAAAGTGTTGGAAATGAATCAAAGTTTGTCTAGAACAACAATTGTTTGTCCAGAATGACTCAACATTGCTCAGAACGACTTTTGTTTCGATTTTTAAACCTTCTAATTGTTAAATATGAACAAAACTTGTCCAGAATGAATTAAAATGGTTAAAAAAGACTCAAAAATGACCCAAAGTGATTTTAAAATTTATCTAAAAGAACCCAGAACTCATCCAAAATGAAAAAAAAAAAAAAGGTTTAAAATAATTTCAAAACTGTTGAACAGGACTTTTTTTTTCATGATCTCAGTTCATTTATGGTGTGTTTGTCTTCACCTGATGGCCAGTTTGTCTTTCATGTCCTCCTCCACCACTTCTTCTGTCCTCGTCTCTCCTCCTCTGGGTTCGTGTCTCATTTCCTCTCAGTCCTCCGCTGACCTCTTCCAGCGTCTCTCTGCTCCTCCTTTGATGTTGATTTATTTGTTGATTTATTTATTTATCTCGACGCCTCTCCCTCATTTCCAGTCCGTGTTGTTTTTCTCACGCTCCGCCGGCGAACCTGAACGCACCTCAACCCATCCCTCCATCTGCTGCACAGTCTATC